TCTTAGAATTTGAATGGGAACTGGTATCAAAAATTTCTGTTCTGTTTGAATTTGATCGTGAATAGTTGTTTCTATACTGGTTATTTTGGCTATTTGATCAACTATATCTATTTTGTGAGAAATTTCGTGAATTTCGTTGTTCTGGTGATCTACCTCTATAACTAGAGTTTTAGGGTGATTGGTTTCTTGAGTAATTTGAATTATTTGAGATTGGTTTACCAGAGCTGTTATTACTATGTATATTTTTGTTTGGTAAATTTTGATCCTTTTTCATGTATTGATAGAATGATTTATTTGGTTCTTTGTACTTTTGCGGTTTACTTTGATTATCCTGTTGTTTTTGTCTACATTCGGCAATGCTGTGTCTGTATCTTCTGCAATCATTACACCATTTCTTGAAAGATGGTTTACCTTTGAAATTGGGATTTTTCTCATAAATGTTCAAAATTTCAGTAATTTTTTTAGTTAGGTCTACGTCTGAATCATGTATGTTGTTTACATGTGTAGTATTTGTTTCGATTCTATTAACGTATTGTAGTTTGAGATTTTCTGTTTCTTCAAATTTCATAGTGATTTCTGCCTGTTCAAATTTGTCAACTAGTTTTCTGAAATCTAAATCTGGTTCTCGAATTGATGAGGGATGTGATGCTCTCTTTTTAATAGCTATTTTTCTTAATTGGGGTGTTAGAGTCATCATTAAAATTTCTGTCATTTTCGTGTTTTTATAATCATGAGTATTCAGTGAATATGCTTTTTGAACTAGTGTTTCGATTCTAACTGCCAATTGTTTGATTGTTTCATTTGGTAGTCTACGAATTTTTTTACATAAAATTCTTTGATGTTGTTTATTTCTTTCAGAATCAAACATTTTTGAAAATTCTTGTGTAAATCTTTTCCAATCTGTTATTATGTCTATTGGTAAAACTGAAAACTATTTCTGAGCTGCGCCATCAAGTGTTGTTTGGATTAACGCTGTGCGTCTATGTATCCAATTTTGATGGAGTGGTGTATTAATTGGTTCAGGTCCGATATTTAAATTTAAATTTGCTGTGACTGCGTTTAAATAGTCTTCTACAGAATATTCAGGGTCTGTGCCTGTGAATACCATCAGTGGTTTATTTGATGTTATTGATGATCCACCCATGAGGTATGGATTCATAGTCATCTGTAGTGATTCTGCGGCATTTGGCTTTGTGAAAAATTTGTCAGTTGATTTTTTGTTATTTCATGTTGTTGCAAATAATATGGTAGTGGTATTTCTTTTTGCATTTGTGTTGGTTGATAATAATCAGTATTTGCTGGGTTTTTTGAGTAAAAATTTTTTTTTTGAGATACATGATTTGGTCTAGGTTGTCGCATATGTTGTTCTCGTGTATATGGTTCAAAAACATCTGGTTGATTTACGTGATAAGAGTGGAGTCTTTGGTTTTGAAAATTATGTTGATGGTTTTGGTCAAGAAAATTGTCATCATCTGATGATAGACAATTAGGTGTATACTAAGGTGTTTTTTGTTTATTTTGGCATGGCTGTTTACTATTTTTATTCTGTTGAAAAAATGGATAGTTTTCAGTTGGGTCTGTTGGATTTCGTGGGTTATCATTAAAATTTACGAAGTTTGATGTTTGTTGTTGGAAATTTTATCGTTATGAAAATGAACGATTATGCGGGTTTGTACATTGTAGATTGCAATGTTGCTTGAGGTAAAATTGAGGTTTTTGGTTTTGCCGTTGTAAGGTTTGGATGTATTGGTGAAATACTTTGCTGTGTAGTTGTTACAATTGTTTCAACTATTTCTTCGTTTATAAATTGTGATGGTGTTTGAATATCTTGTTGTGTAAGATTTCTAGTTCCATTTAAGTTTTCTTGTTGTACAAGAGTTGAATTTTAACTATTATTTTGTCTTCTATCAGGTAAAAATGAGTTATAGTTTAAAGGTGTTGCATCTATTGTAAGTGGAAATACCTTTACATGGTCTTTGTGAATAGAAATTGTACTGATTGCTTGACTTGAAATGTCTATTGGTATGTTAAGAAATAATGGATGAGACCATTCAGTGTCCCAAATATAGTCTGATTGTTCTGCAATGGCAGTGTCGTCATTGGTACTTTGAGGTCTGAAATTTTTTCTTGTTTGTGCAATTAAATCAATATTATGTGCAAAATAATCAATTATGAACCACGCTAAGATTTTTTGTAAATCATGTTTGACATTTGGTGAAATTTCATTGTTCAAAAAATTTTCACGAATTGTGTTTAAAAATGCTGAGAATGCGGCAATTTCATTTCTGACATTTGTGTGTCTTGATTTTTGAACCGGTGATGTGCTTTCAGTTCCTATTTTTTCTAGTATAGATACATAACTATATATTAGTTAAAAAACATCGTTGGTGAATATTGAGTTTGCTCTTTGTGAATTTTGGTGTTGTATGTTTTTAATGTATTCTGTGAATACTTTTGAAAATTCTATGTCGACATTGTCTGTTTGAATAACATGTTTGCTATGATATCTACTTTCTGTGCTGAGTTCTATGGTGTAGTTTCCATATGGTTGTGTTAGGTTACATATTCTTTTTAAATAATGATCGATAATTTGTCTTTTGATTTTTACTTCTGGGAATTCTGCTTTACATGGGCTAATTCCTTGTTCGAATACATTTGCAATTAAATTAGTACAAAATTGTCTTTGTCCTCTATCTTCAGTGAGTGAATTTATAATAAAATGGAAAACAGACTGTCATCACTTGGACTCATTTTTTTCGTTTTATAACCGTCAGTGCGTAATGTTCAATGTGTCTGATTGGTTGATTCCAATTGTATAAGCGTACTGGTTTATTTTTGTATATCGTTTTTATTCTACTTTTTCCTTGTTTTGATGAATGTGATGTGGCTTCTGAATCGGAAAAATATAATTGGTCGTGAACTGGGTAGTTTTTTTAACTGTTTCTTATAGTTTGTAAAGTGCATCTAAATTGCTGACTTCTGATTCAGAGACTGAGTTTCTACGCTTTGAAAATCTTTTTTGTGTGATTTGTCTTTGTTTACTTAAAATTTTTCTTTTTTTTTGTTTGACGTTTTGTGCGAATATATCCGATTGTTTGTTTGTGCGGTGTAATTACAAGATCGTATGATTCGTTATTTATTTCACAATTGTGTAGTACGATTGTTTGTTTATTTCCTAAACTGTTCAGTGACATAAGGTTTAGGATGAAGGGTGCAAGATTGTTATTAGTGATTTTAATATCTTAGACTGTTAGTCCTTACGATTGTTTGGTTAGCCTAACTTGGGTTTTTTATGTAGGGTTGGAGAGAAGAGTATGTATCGATTCCGAAGAATGATTGTTACTTTCTCGTGGCTATTCTAAGTTAAGGTGCTTTTGCCGTACGACCATGAAATTTAATGGTAAGTTTCTTCGTAGTCGTAGATCGTCTCTTGTCCGAGGCCTTCTTCCAATACCTGGTAGTTCTAGTATTGTGCGGAATAGCGGTTCTGATCTATTGATTCGTAGAGACATTTCAATTAGAATATTATCATGTAACATTTTTGAAAATGTTTTTGTCTAATTCTAATCTATCTGTTAGTTCTAAGCTAATTTGTTTTTTAAGATCTTGATCGAGACTTATGGTCGCACCAGATGAGTTAGGTTCGATGTGTGACTCATAGAGTAATTTCGGATAAGGTACACCGTCTGCTCGTCACGCTATCTTTTTTTCGGCCGGATAGATTCGTGCAACTTCTTAGTCTAATACCGATCCTAATCTTACTCTTATATCTACTAGTCTCAGTCTATATCTACTATATCTGATTCCAATTTTTTCAATTTTAAGTTTTTGACCGGTTAAGAAGGGCAAAACGTAACTTTTTTGACTAGAGAACAAACGCACAATAAATGGCTTGGTGTGTTTTTTATTCAGGTAAATTTGGCAATCATAATATTATTAATTACCAAAATCGGCTTCTATTTTGTACCTCATTGAAGATATTGACTCCCTGAGCTCACATATAAACAGATAATTTACCTGTGATCATTTTCGTAAGTTCTCGGCTTTGAAAACTGTTAGTTTTGCCCTCCTCTGAACTAATTTTTGTGCATCTTGGCTGTGAACTTTTTACTTGTCATGCTAAAAGCGTGACTCGATTTATATATGCGCGACAAATTATCCGGCCCTACAAGATTTTTCCAACTTTACTACTCAAATTTTTTCAATTGGTGCTTGCTGCTGTCAAAATGTTGGTGCTTTTTAATTTTTTCCTAAGCAACAACTATTCGATGTAGATTGAGATCCACAGTCGGAAAATTACGGGCTTTGAACTGTTATATGCAGTGGTGGATCAAGAATTTTTTCAGGGGAGGACAAAATTACAAAAAAGCCACCTTTTGAACCAAATTTTGTGCGCAGCAGGCAATTTTTTGAAAAAACTGTATATTTAGTATATATTGTTTTTTCAAAATTAGTATAAATTGGTGCCTACGGCGCCTTTAGAAAAACTTTAGGGTCAGTCAGCCAAAACTTGAGATCTCAAAATAGTACAAAGGGGGGCCCCTTTGTTTCGCAGGGGCTCGAGTCCTAGATGGAGGAGGCGTCAACTCCGCGAGAGTACTCACACAAGAAATGGTCAATTTTGGGACAATAAAAACTGCACCAAAATGCATGGATAAAATTTTGTTAACATTAGTTTGAAATATAAATAAAAGTTTGACAATTAATTTCAGTGAGAAAATCTTCAAAGTTGCTTTTATCTGTGCCATTGTTAAAAATATTAGCAACATATTTAGCAAAAACATCACGATTTGAAATATTCAATACACGAGATCGAGTTTTACACGCAAAAAAAAACACTTTGTATAGCCTTAGTGGTGAAACTTTAAAATGGAATATGGCTCCACGTTTTTTTTTGTTAAAAATTTGGATATTTGCACAAAAAATGCACCAGATGTTGAAAGAACTTTCAGTCAAACTAAAGAAAGCACTTGTTACATCTTCAGTCAAAATGCATTGAAATAAACCAACTTTGTAACGCGGATGCTTAATTGAAAAAAAAATCCACACTTCATTGGAGCTATAAAAATTTGGCTTTTTCCCATAAATTTAACTATTCGTTTTCAGTTTTCCCTAAAAATGTCAGTGGATTTAAACGGAATTTCGGGAAACCAAGAATTCGTGGACGAAACGACGCTAAAAGAAATTGAAAATTCGGTCATCGAGAATTTGAACACAATTTCGCAGGATGCACTATCGTTTGAAGTTAATCATGAACAAGCTGCTCAAGCGTTGAATGCAATCGAGAATGAATCAGAGACCCGGTCGGAATCGAACTCTGAACCTTCGGAGATGGTGTCTCATGATTTGAGTAACCAATCGACGACAGTGGAAACTGCAAGTGACTTTTGTCCAGTTAACAGTTTTGACTCCGAGGACAATTTATCAGCTGAACGAGAATCAAATCACCAATCAGAAGCGGAAGACCATGAACAAGCACTTAAAAACGGCAGGAGCGATTCAGGTGAGAAATTGGAAATGGATCCTGACATTACAACACCTAGTTCCTCTGAAGACGCTGTCACTCAGTTTTGGGTGCATCGCAACCCCGAACCCGATGTAGAAAGTGCAGCGAGCATCGAGCGCGAAACTTCCTTGAACTCGGGAAAGCATCTTCCGAATGACGACAGCGACGAAATCACGAGTGACTTCTCAAATCAGTTGTCGCCGCTGCAAGAAGCTTCGGATGCTTCATTGGACGGAACTAAGCTCGAAGAGGACTCTAGACCTTCAGAACCCGAGCCACCCTCGGAGAATATTTCACCCTATGAGAAGTTTTTAATCGGAACAGGCGAGGATAAAGAGGATGAAATGGACAAAAATGAAGCTGATGCGACTTTGATCTCAGACAACCCTCCGAGCGAAAGTGTATTGTCATCCCACTCTCGACTTGACCTTGTTTGGGATACGGATATTCCATCAGAATTCGAGCAAGCAGAGAGACCCTCGGGATCTGTTCAGAATAAAAGTCAACATTCTCTAGAACGCTTTCAGAGTCCTAGCGATGGCCAGAAAAAGATCGAAGCGGAAAACAGTCAACAAAATTCGCCCTATGCTTCTGAAATTGACAGTTTAACGGTCTTTAACAACGTCGAGTTGAACCCATTGCCGAAAAGGCCCGTGAACAGTTTTGGGGGGACATTTAAGGAAAACGGGGATGACTCACTGGTCGAAACAACTTGGGACAGCGAGAGTGTGACGTCGCAAAAAGATGTTCCTAGCATCCCAATCGACTCGGAATATAATGAAAGAAGCAATGAACAAGTTGTACAGCCACCTGAACAAACTCCTATCAACGAGTCAGCTCCAACTCAGACTGTGACACATATTCAGGACACTAGAAATTCTCACAAATTAGAATCAAAACTGCAGATTTCTATTTCGACTGACGTAATGGACTGCACTATCCATGCTGACAATTTGCCACTGAAGCAGAACAAGATAACAAGAACATTTACGAAGGAGTCAAAAACACCAGAAGTAACTTCGCAGGATAATAACACCGATTCCATTTCAAGGAATGGATCAGAGAATGCTCAACCAAAAGTTGAACTTTCTAATAAAATGACGTCCAGAAAATCGACTAACTCTCGTAACAATCAGGAGAGCAGAGAAAAGAATGTTCCAGAACATTCTGGAAGTTCTGCAGGTGATGAACCAAAAAATATTTGGGCAGTAGGATTGAGGGATAAGTTATATGAGCGAGAGACATCAAGGCCTCCAAACTTGACTCGAAATAAGCGGATAACTTATGAGCCTTCAAATAATGCACCGAAAAACGAACAGTCACTTTCTAGAAAGAAACAGATGGCTAAACTGTGCAGCCATCATGATCATCAGGAGTTGCACTTATGCTGTATGCCTCCAGCACCCGAGTATAATTTCACACCACGAATTGAACAGGTAACCATTGACAATTTTTTTATATTTCGAATCAATTATTTCATCTGGGACGTTTGAGGTCTAAACAATACAGTGCTGATTTGAATTATCCGGAGAAACGACGAAAAACTTGAAAATCAAAATGTGTTTATCTCAATCTGGGTTGAATTTAGACAAAAAATGATGAAGACAAAAATTTGCTTAGAATTAGCGAAAAATCTGCTTAGAAAGAGTCTGCTTAGAATCTGCTTAGAATTTCAGCACAAAAAATAATTTGAGGGGCTCCAAAATTTATTCTCAAATATTACCATTTTGGGCTTTTTTATCAATCGAAAATTACGCCAAAACTATTGGTTCATTAGTGCGCCTCCTATATCCAAAGTGCGCCTCCTATATAGCAAAACAAAATTCTAGAGGGGCATAGTTTACAAAATTTGAGCAAAACGTCTAAAATTTGTTTTTAAATAAAAAATTGTTACTTTATATAGTAAAATTGACAATTTTTGGCTATCAAACGAAAATAATTTTAATAATACAAAATTGAGACGATTATAGTTTCCTGAAAATTTGTTGAGGTTTTTAAGAGGCTCACTTCGATTTATTTTTGTCAGCTAATGAACCAATAGTTTTGGCGTAATTTTTGATTGACTAAAAAAACCCAGAAAGATAATTTTTGGGGTTGAATTCTGGAGCCAAATTTCGCAGCTTAAAATTGCAAAATATTAATTCTGCTGTGAATCTAAGCAAGAATTTTCTAAGTAAGAAACTCTTAGTAAGAATGCTGAAATTCTAATCAATGCTGAAACTCTAAGTAAGAAGTTAGTCTAAAGTCATCCCAATTTGAGTAAAGCGCATTTTAAACTTCAACTTTCATTGGTTTTGTCCGAATACTTTAAATCAGTACTGAATCATCAAATAATTAATAGTTGACGCTCTGCAGCCTGAATAAAAAACTTGAACGGAAACTTCAAGTCTAAAAAACTTAATTATTTTTAGCCTTCATAACGCAGTTTAGACGATATCCTTTTAGATCTTTTCTCTATCATGTAGGTAAAGCGAGAAGTCACGCAGCGTTCATTGTCAGTTGATAGCTCAAACTCATCTTGCAAGAAGTTCAACCTGCCCCAAACGCGACGTCGTGTCCCCAGCAACGCCTCGACTCCTTCCGACGTGGGCGAGTCCAGTGTCTTCGAGAGCGATTCAGCACGAACTTCCGGTAGATTTGGAAATTACAGAACTTACAATGGACGGAAGCGAAACGAGAGCAGTTCTAGGGACTGCCCGAGTGACGCCGAGAGTGTGACAAGTGTTGCCAGCAGCACCAACAGTCGCATTCCCAGATACATCGGCAGGTCTTCAAGAGCTGATTCCGAGAGCAGCAAACTCAGTGAACGAGACGTGAAGCAAATAGTGAAACTTGTGAAAGGTGGTGACCGAAAGGTGGGCAACCGACTCAGCCCAGAGTTCGTGATCAAAAAGGATCCTGTCTCCAAGAAGTGGCAGTTGAGAGACAGCAGCAGCGACCTGTTAGCTTTTTCTTGTACTATACTCCTCATCTATAGAGAGTTTTTGAACTATTTTCAAGTTTTCGTTGTTCCGTCTTTCAATGAGAAAGGAAACAGTTACGCGCAGGGCTTTTTTTAGACTTCTTTTGATAATCAAAAAAATAGATTTTGGTGGAGATGCCATATGATTTATGGCAATGACCTGCTGTCAAAATAGTGCTCATCTGCTTCAAAATTTTTTCATACCTATTTGTTTAAAAAATGTGAACATTGACGTCATGGTCATTTATTATAGTTTCAATTTCGGACAAAAATGAAGAAAAGTTCTGCTTAGTGAGTTTTTCAAACCAATTTTGGTCATTTGGGCAACTATTTTTGAAAGACTTTCTTGTCTTGAAACCATCCCAGAAATAATGAATCAAAATGTGAGGAATTACATCGAAGAGTTTTTACGTTTCAATTTCATGTTTTGTTTTCTTTGTTTTTTGTTTCCAATTTTATAAAAGGGCGCGGAATATTTGTACTCGGTGTATTTTATTTTTTTCCACAAATTTAAACTTGTTAAGGAACAAAATTTGGCATATTTTAGATACCATTTGAGAGATATGGGTAGCTTAACTCATCATAGTATAAATATTACACCTCAAAAACACAAAAAAAAGTGGAACAAAAACGTGTTGTAAAGTTTCAAGAAATGTCAATTAATGGGAATTGGTATTATTTAACTCTAACTACTCAATCCGTCTCAAAAAATACCCCGAATTAATTTATAACGTTCAATGATTGCGTTAAAAGACGCTTGGTTTTTCACCACCCGGATTTGCGAGTGGAAAAAAAGTTTTCAAAAATATTGAAAAAAAAACTTCACCAACTTTTTCTTGAGACGCAGTGCCGGTAATATTTCGCCCTGATAAAAGCAGTCTTCTTGATTTTCCAATTCCATGATTTCTTTTTTGTATGCATGCAACCCAAATGAAACTAATCAATAAGCCTTCAAAAATTCATCAACTGGAAAGATTTTAATCTTGGTTAGACAGAAATGATTACTAGAAGCTGCAAAAAAGAAGTGAAATAAGTTTCTAAAAACCATTTTCTGAAACTGTTTTATATGATTCAATTGCATTCTGCTACAAGAGAAGCTGGTTGCTTAGTAAGTTGAACAGAAAGTTCATCATAAAACCTGTGCCATTTTTGCACTTTTTTGCGTATAGGCCAACGAGAAGAAAATACTTTAATGAATTACTCAAAAAATTAATTTAAAAAAATGTTTGAAAAGTTTCAAAAAGATTTTTTTTTTCTAAAGATACTTGTTTTTTATTTTAAAAAATCTGCCAAAAATGCATTAAATGAATTTTCAAAAACGTTTTTACTATAAACAAAACAATGTTCAAATAAATAGATTATTTTCTTACTACAATTGTTAAGCAAAAATCAACAACTGTTTTTCAATATTGGAAAACAATTTTGTAATTCTGGTCGTTTGAATTTAAGTTGAAAGAAGTTGAACATGATACATCATTCAACCCATTCCGGTGATTTTTTTACTTGATTTTGTCTGGAACATAATTTAAGTACCCCTAAAAACAAGGGTCCTCCAAACTTCCAGTGGTCAAAACAAAAAACTGCTCGTATTATGGTAAAATCTTGAAACTTTCAGAAACTTTTTAAACATTTGATTCCGCTCGCTTATCTAATTGCAAACGATGTTCTTAAGTGTCAACTAACGTACACTCTTAATAAGATCAAAATGCTTGCATCAATTCAATTTAGAATGATTTCTGATCCGGATAAAATCGCCGCGTACGCGTCTATTTTTTTTGGAAACAAAATTTGTTTAGCACAACTTACACGACGACAGAAAGATTCGCCGTTTTTCACAAAATTGAAAAACATCATGCCAGCAGTTTTGTTGTTTCGATTTCTTAAAGATTAGTTGTGCTCGGTCCGATTTTTCTGCAGACGACCTTACTTTCTAACAAGCAATGTTTGGAGAAATTTCCGGATACCATCTGAAAATTATTGATATTCTGAGCTCAAAAGTAAAAAGGATCTGACATACAAACTGTATGGTTTTTTATGCGCTTGAAAAAACTGCATCACGCTCAAATAACAATAATCAAATAAATATGATCATATTTTAATTCGAACGTTTTTTTTTCAGACGCGGTTCATCGGCGGGAAACTCATCCCGTGAACGCAGTCCGGCATTCAAACGTAACCCATATTACAACATAGAAGATGACGAAATAGTTTCGAGATCTGAATTGAAGCTATCCTCGTCGGTTTCGGCCAATCGGAGCAAGCGACAGTCCAATCTGTTAACTCAGTACGGTGTCGGATTTCTGCTGGGACTACTAGTAGCGGCAGTCGTTCGTTACGTTGTAGCTCCTACTATTTCCATGGCTTTGAAATCTGGAAACAACTCAGAAGAGACTGGAAATACTTTTGGTGACGAAAATCAGAAGGCAGATTTGTAATTTTGGGAAAAAAAACTGACAATAGCTTGAACGAAAAAAAATCAAACAAAACTTTATTTTTACGCTAAGTTATTATTAAAATGCAATAATCCATTCAAATGAGATTTTATAACGAAATAAGAATGAAATCCATATAATTTCTAATTCAATTTTAATAATTTTTTGAATCCTAAGCGTAACTTTTTGATAACATCAGTTCAGTTCTTATCAATAACCACAAACATTAATCAATCAATGCTAGCCGTAAATACTTATGCTAATGGCAAAAAACACTATCAAAAGAGTTCCATAATTTCTCGATGCCGATGACTTATCGGTACCATTTTGATCCTTGCTGCCCTTGAGATCATAGTCATTCGTCTTTTTGTCTTTACCAGCAGCTCTTTTACCTTTCCCTTCCAGCAGAGCGTCTCATTTGCATGTAAGGTTCACGCCTTTCAGTGAAAATGATGAAAATTTGCAAAGTTAATTACGGATTTTAATTGTTTTGTTTTCATATAAGTTCCGTAACTTCGTGCCGTCTTATAAATTCTGTTTCTCAAAGTCTTCCAAAGTTCCTAACTTTAAAATTAATAGACTATATCTATGGCACCTTTCAACTCCAAAAATGACGCTGAAAAAGACCTATTTTTGTTTAATTCAATAGCCTAGAAAAAAAAAATTGCCAAAAAACTCACTGTGGGGTTTGAATGGATTTCAAAATTTAATTTCCTGATCAAGTTATTCTGACCCTCGTGAATTTTTGGTTGAAACATTAGGCGTGATGTTTCTACAAGGTTTATGGGGAGGGTAAAAGAGGGCTTGAGACATTCAGATCTGTCTTGGATGCTACCCTGCCAGTATTTCTGTTCAGACATCACTTTCCCGATGAAGTCCTTCACCTGGAAAGTCCACACTCGAACATAGCCCCCAGGTGTCTTTCCACAGTTGGGGGGTCCCGGGCCCATGGAGACGACACCGCATAAGTAGACAGTCCCTGAACAGAGAAAGACGCGTTAGTCAACCATTCTTTAAATTGGCCGAAAAAGATTAAGAATATCGAGAAACATTAATTTTCATACGGTGAACATTGTTGTCATAAAATTCATAAAATTCCGCGATATTATGGTATCATAAAAGTTTGCCCAAAATCTATCAAGAAATGCATTTTTATGAAGTTTAGGATAATGGTCCCGCTATTTTGAGGGAGTCCCATTCGAGATTTTACAAGAGCAGTCAAATTATTACAAACAATTTAAAGTCTTATACCATAAAAATTCACCTAAGGTTTGAAAAGGTTATAGATGTAAGCCGCAGGCGGGGGTGTTCAACATAGTTAATTTGTTCACCGTGCAAACTTATTGCATTACATTATGACCGCGTTAAATTAATTTTTTGAAATTAAAATTCAAATCTGGAGGAGGGGTGGAAAAGAGACAACTGGGACGAATGAACTCCTACCATCAGATTTGAGGCACTCCAGGGGTCCACCTGAGTCCCCGGTGCAGGAGTCTTGGGGTTGTTTGATGCCCATGTCGTTAGTGGTCATGCCCCCCGCACAGAAGGTCAACTGCAACTGTCCAGCTGGCCTCGTTTCCTTCCATTTGGCCACACACTTTTCCCTGTCAGGTGTCACCTGGATGTCGACACCCTAAAGATGGCAATTATTGAGCGACTTTGACAAAAACTGCTCTGTTCACGAACTAATTTGTAATGGCGCAAAAGGCGCCATTGAAACAGCTTGGGTTCAAATGACTGTTAGTTGAATGGATGTCGTAGAAAGGCGCATGGGCGGAAATTTATTTGACACCAAGAGTGTCTAATTCTAGCAACCAAGAGTGTCGTATTCTAGAAAAAAAGTGTTCACGACCTTGGTCGCTTATTTGCTGATGTGCATTTTAGCTCATACGTTGAAATTTTATTCTTAACTAAATACTTCCTCTCAAAAATGTTGGAATGTGTCTTACTCTGAGATGTTCCGCATAAACGGTTTGATTATTGCAGTTCTTCCCCGGGTCCGCACACCTGGTTCCAAAGCCCAGAGTGAACACCCACTGGTAGGGCTGGGGCTCCTTGGCGTCATAGTCTGCGAACGCTATTGGCATGATTCGGTGTCTCATCAGCTTAAGTGGATACTTGAACTTGAATATCGCAATGTCCATGTAATCTGATTCCTAAAGAACAAAAAAAATAATTGCATCGGAACTTTCCAGACAGCAAATCTCCACGCAAACTTCAACGGCACAAATTGCTCATTTGACCTCCGAAATCATTCTTTAAAAGCTTTTAAAAGCATTGTCAAATGTTAACTTGTCTGAAAAGGCTACTTTTAAAGGATCTCACGTTCATCGATAATGTCTAAAATTTATGATAAAAATTTTTTAAAATGTGCAATTAAATAAAGCCATTGTTTGATTGTTTTGTGGGCCATAGAGATTATTATTTCCTGTGAAGAGAGGATGTCGTAGTCTGTCTTTTTGAGTGGCTTGACGTGTTTGAAGTGTCCGAGACTGTCTCGGCCGAATATCATCCAAATGGTTGCAAGTTCCTTGATCGCCTTCTCCACACAATGGTACGCTGTCAGCACTAAAATTACAAAATGCACTCATTCAAGTCAGGAATGACCCGGAAAAAGCGGGTGTTTCTATTAACCGCATTTAAGGAGAGGACAGCTTTGCGGCTAAATTTGCAAAAACGCAAAAATAAAGCCAAAAGACTGTTGCAAATGTGTCAATGAGCTCACTACCTAAATAAGTGTCTTCAGTTGGTTCATTTCCTTTTCAAATAAAAAACAAGGATAACTGGTTACTGTGCAAATAGCACAGAATATTCCGACCAATCTTAAAAAATACAATTTTGTTTTTCAAATTAGTGTAGTTTTTTTCAGCATGTTATGAAAAAAAAGATCTAACGAAAAAATAGAATTCAGGTATAATTGAGAGTTATAGTGAAATACAACAATTTAAAACAGTTTCTGAAGAAAAATGACCAGAAAAACAAAAATAACTTTCAAAAAATCTGAAAACAATTTTTTGAAGAATTTTTTTTGAATTTTCAAGTTTTTGAATCCAAAAATTGCGCTAAAAAACCCCAAAAACTACCTTTACTTAAGAAAAACTAAGTTTTCACCTCTGAAAATAAGCTTAAACATGCTATTGTAAGCGTTCCTGGTCACCTTATTAGCTCGAAATTAGACCAAAAATCAAAAATTTCAAAACGGTTTTTCTCAAGACTGTGAAAAAAAATTCAAAGTTTTTAAATGTGATTCGAATCACAATTGGAAGGGCTTTAATATGATAAATCACTCAACTCAGTTTTGCGAGGAAAAAAGCAAAAAAAACTAAATCACACACGAATACAAAGTTCCTCCCCATTTTTAAGGGCCGGAACAATTAATCAAAAATATTATCAGTTGGTTAGTCAGGCTTCTTTTACTAAAAATTTTGCATGCTAGAAAATTTGTTGAAAATTTTTTTTAAAAGTTGAAAAAGAAATGACATCGGAGTCTCAAAAAAATTTTTACGATGGCCAACTTTTTCAAAAGACTTGCTCATTTATGTAACACTGCAACATTTAGTAGTTTTTTAATCCGCAGGGAAAATAAAAAAGGTCCAATTTTGAATCTAAATGTCATTAAAAAAATTTGCGCTATCGAGGCTTTTATAATCGAAACGCATAATTAGTCTTCTATTTAACAAATGAATTTAACTGGAGCTCAAAAAGTAAACAAAATTCAAGCCGCAAAAAAAATCAATTTTGAGCGTGAACAAATTTTAGGACTTTCTTAAAAAAACAACCCTCACTAGAATTCCATGGATAAAAATTGATTAAATTTGAGTTTTATTGATCAATTATAAACAATTTTTGTTCACATTCAGATAAAGACAATGAAACTTCATTATAATCGATTTTTACCTATGATCTTTTTTTTCGCGAAGTATAATTGTTTAAATTTGGGACTCCTTCGATGACTACATTTTAAATTGGGATAGTCAACGCGCAACATTTTTCAACATCATAGAGCCTACGCGCAAACGTAAATCATCCATCCCAGTATGAACTGAGGCAGACAATTTGACATTAAGTCCCGATATCTAAGAACAGAGCGATAAAATCGCCAACACAAAAATATTTTAAAAAAAAAAACAGTGTGCATCAACTCCACTGGATTATTTGGCAGCGTATGGACTATAATAACAATAAATTTAAAGTTAATTGTCCAATACTGGTCTTATTGACAATTTTTTCAAGCCTCAATAAGTTTTAACAAAAAGCTCAAGTGTTTTTTTTCTAATTTGAGCTCGGGATATCAATGATTTTCAGACTACGGAAAACGAATTGAAAAGTCGAAATTTGTCTGGAGGAAAGACACCACTCCGAGCACAATAATTTTTGAATGTCGGAACATTAGCAACTGAAAATGATGCAATCATTTCACATAAGACCTTTTGCTCAAATGAATTTTGAGCGCAACTGCTTGATCAATTGCGCATCTCATTCATTTTTTTTCAAATGTCACTTAAAATTTTGTAAAAACCAAGAAATTGTTACAATTTCTGAATAAAATGACGGAAAATTGTGTTCGGGTTAATTTTTTCCCGGCAAACATCATTCGCAAACATCATTCTTTTTTTTTGCGAAGTTATAATTGTTTGAATTTGGGACTACTTTGATGACTACATTGCAAATTTGGATAGTTAACGCGCAATATTGTTCATCCTCATAGAGCCTACGCGCGAAATTAAATCATACAGATTTGAACTGAAGTAGGCAATTTGACATTATGTAATCCTTACCAGACGCTTCATATATATAAAAATTATGAAGCTCTTTTTTACTTTTTTTAAATTAGAATAACTGTAGATCAATTTTAGAGGGCAGTAAGAACATTTATTGGCTTCACACTCATACCAGCAGTCTTGTGATGTATTATTCATATACTTTGAGTGATACTTGCCCAGATATTTTGAGATGACGGTTCCTCCACAGAATCCGTTGTCTTTGATGGAATAATAGACGTACCAGGGGTGCTTCGCGATCGAGATCTCATCCCCATTTATGATTCTGGAACTGCCTACAGCGTCTGTCCGGATGTCACTTCTGTAGGTGCCTGGAACT